TATATATATATATATATGATGCAGTTTAAAGGTCAGAAAATGTGTAGCTGCATGATCATAGACATATATATGTGTAAGTGTGTGTGTGTGATGAAGGCCAGAAAATGAGGTATATATATATATATATATATATATATATATATATATACATATATATATATATATATATATATATATATATATATATATATGTGATGTAGTTTAAAATAAGTGAAAATAGTTCTGAGATTATATAATGCAATTTGGAGAACTTTTTTGTTTTGATATGTTTCACTGATAATTTGGATCCATCAGAAATATTAAGTTTATAAATTATTTTATGCCTGTAAACATTCCATTGGTGAAACATGTCAGAATGGAAGTTTCGTAGTTTTACAAATTGTTTTATATATTTACCATTCTCATCCAAAATTTACTTCTCATATATATATATATATATATACATATATATATATATATATATATATATATATATAATATATATATATATATATATATATATATATATATATATATATATATATATATATATATATATATATATTTCAAAAATTCTAAACATAATTTATTCCATTGGAAATTCATAAAAACGATCAATTTCATCAGACCTTATAAATTCAAAAAATATAAAAAACATTATTTGAATTTATATAATCTAATGAATTGGATCGTATTTAATAAAATTCAATGGAATTATATTTCCATGGAATAAGAAATATTTTAAACTTTTTTTAATATATCCTTACTCTGTCCTGAACATTGAGTTCTACCTGGATTCTATCCTCTTGGAATTTTTATTCAAAAAATATACATGTATGGGTATTTATATATTTTGCATATGTATGTATATTTACCACTAATATTATCTAAATATATACACACATATATATATATATATGGACATATGATTGTGCATACACACACACATATATATATATATATGTGTGTGTGTGTGTCATGACAAAGCTATTATTTGTATATATTTTTGTTTGTTTTTTTTAACTCAGAAAACTTTTTTCTTGCATTTATTATGAATTTATAAAATTCTAATTTTGTGAAAAAAAGTGGAGTTTAAGGTACTCCTGGTCAGTGTGTACTATTGCCAGCCCACCCCAATTTCCCACAACCGGGGAGGCAAACCTGATTGGAGGTCCTAGGCTGTGCTTTGTCGCTCTTCATATCTGATAAGCATTTGCTTTTTTCTACCTATATTTATATACATTACAAATTAAACTAAGCACAACTGACTCAAGGATAAAAAAAAATTCCGGGATCTTTGTTTTTTGTCCAAATCCATGAATTTGTTTTGCTCATGCTAAGTCTCGGAAAAACACTATTAGAATCAACTATTTCTTATCTATAATGTTGATGTGTTAAAAATAAAATTATTCAACTTTTTAACAAGAAAAATCTCAAGTTGATGTTAAAAATTACCACAAAAAAACATTGTTGATTTATTTAAGATGGAATGATCTGTCTCTGATTTGCATTTAAATTTAAACATTGTATTTATTTTCTAGTTAGTTTGATCATTCATCTATATTGCTTATGATCCATTATTGTAAATAATTAGGTTACAATAAAAATTTGTATTTTATGTACCTTATAAAAATTGAGATGTAGTCAAGTGGGAGCCCCATATTGCACTAGCCCTGGGGGTACTTATTTTAATTATTTATTGATTTCATATTTACTTTTTGAGTTAATATCATTTTAAAATTTTCTTTTACTTTCTTTCTTTTTTTCGTGGGGTATTCGGGCAGAAATGACTGAAATTACATAATCATTTCATGAAGCAGAAAGAAAACCACAAAATAAATAGAGAAAGGAAGAGAAAATTGTCACATTCAACGGACTTATAAAAAAAAATTACCTTCATTTATTTAAATGATTTGTTTCACATTAAAAATGTTCCAGTAAGAATTTTAAAATGTTAAGTAACATAAATTGGCTTTTTTGTGTTTGTTCATAACATTTTTCATATTTTTTCCAATGTGTGTTCAGAAAATATAATTCCTTCATTTTTTTTTTTTTTTTTTTTCTTAAAAAAAAAAATCTAAGAAGAGCTTGCTGGCTCAAATGTTGCACCCCACCCCTAAGAAAACGGATGATCATCAATTTTAGAGACAAATCAAAAACAATTCCTTCTGTCCTGTCAAATGTTTTCGTACCTTTTCGTCACCGGAAAAATAAAAATCTCTACTATCTCCTATTACACGAATCACTTGGTTTTCTTCACAAACATTTATACAGAATGAATCGGCTACCGTAAACCCTTTAGAAATAAACACACTACTCTGGTAAAACACGTTCAACTCCACCGCCTCTTTTATTTCATTTTATTGTCAGCTTTCTCTTGCCTAAACCAAGACGGTTGCGCGTTTCGCGTACACCCCTAGATCTGGGGCCTGGAGAAAAGGGTGTGATACTGAACATCAGTGAACTGGAGTTGATTCGAGCTAAGGAAAGACAGTCATGGGCGAAAATTTATTTCTGGGGGATACGTTGATCAAATGAAGACTAGCGTGAAAGTTTATGCGTGTGAGAGGATTTGTTGGGGAGATGGCAGAGACTTTTGAGGGACCGGTGCGACAGGCACGCGCTAAGCCGGGGAAAAACGACGACCAGGGTTACAATATAATCACATACCCCACCCCCCTTCCCCGACATATAATTGCTCTGAGAGGAAACACAGCAGTATTGTTAACTTGGATGGCCGCAAGTTATAATTAAGTGAACGTAGGTGTACGTTCGCTATCGCTGGCCTTTTGTCATGAAGAATCTAAGCCGTCTATAGTCAGAATATCAGTTAATATCTGACTTGACAGTAAGTCAACAATATAAAACATCATCACTCGTTAAAGAGAGAATTAGTGACGACGAAAGGGAAGTGACGACAGAGGCAGGAGAAAGCAATTTAAGCGACAATCAGCGAGGGAAGAAACTCAGATTTGAAACGAAATGTTTATTTATTTAATTAATCTAATAAAAATACTGTTTTTAATAATTTATGTTTTTTCTTTTGTATTCTTGCGCTTCCTTTTTTGTTACTCCCTATCCTTTGATGTTGATATCTACCAGACTTTTAATTTTTATCTATCTACCTCTCACAGGCTGTACTGCTGATATCTCTATCTCAGCTCAGGTTATTCATATCTATCTATCTATCTATCTATCTATCTATCTATCTATCTATCTATCTATCTCAGGCTGTTCACCTAATCTATCTATCTCAGAGTCTGCAATCTATCTATCTATCTATCTATCTATCTATCTATAAGGCTTTTCATATCAATCTATCTAACAATTTATCTAAGGTTGTTCATATCTATCAAATCTATCACAGGCTATTCATGTCTATCTATCAGAGGATATTCATAACTATCTGTTCATCTCTCGCAATTTACCTACCTACTTCTCTCTCTCTCTCTATATATATATATATATATATATATATATATATATATATATATATATATATATATATATATATATATGGTATATATATATAACAGAGAGGGAAAGGGGATAAACTATTTCCCTACATTGTTTTTGTTTTATTTATTATCTAAAAATAAGAATTAAAAATGAATAATCTTGAAACATTCAAAGAAAGAAAAAATCACCCAAAATTTCTCTTTTAATTCTGTATAGATTGATGGCAACGGAAATAAAAGACAAATACATTTTATTTTGAAATACTTATTGAGCTTTAAATCAAAAATTACTGGAGGTGGTGGAGATAAAATAAGCTTTATATGTTTCTTTTCATTTCTTTTTCAACATATTTTTTTTATTTTTAATTTGATTCTGCCCTTTTAATAACTCCTATTTTATTATATTTATTGCTAATAATGTGGAAATGCTCTTCAAGAATTGAAAAGGCTCACTTTGCTAGAAAATTATCATTTTCACTGTAAATATGTTTTAATAACAAAAGATGGAAATACAGCCATAGACTGTCACAAAAAATCTCAGATTAAAATTTTATGAATTAATCAATATCCATAAAATATATATATGTGTGTGTGTGTGTGTTTATATGATAAAGTTATATATATATATATATATATATATATATATATATATATATATATATATATATATATATATATATATATATATTTTTTTATAAGTTTATCTAAACATCAGCTATCATTTGTTGAGTTCTAACACCAGATGGTGATGAATTTCAATGAACATTTTACATTCTTATTTGTCTATCTATTTATCTATCATTCTGAAAGTACACTTATTTAATATTTAAAAAAACTGTACTGATTTACAAGTCATAAATTTCTATTGCCCTGAAATTAAAAAAAAATACTTAAGACATATTAAATATATAATCAACTTTGTTACTGCATTAAAGCTTATTAATTTTTTAAAAGATTTTGTGCGTTTTATTTTACTACGACTACTATTGGGGAGATATCATGAAGTTTAATCTATGAAGAAAGAACATGAATAATTTATTTGTGGCCTTTATTAACATATAAATTACTTGGAGGTAATTGAAAGTAAAGTGCTCTTCAAAAATGAACCTTTTGTATAAAAACAAATGAAATATAAAATCTTATTGAAATACATATTCACAATGGTGAATGAATAGAACATATAAATATTTCCTCAAAAAGTTGAGAATTTTCAGATTTTGCAATTCAAATTTATTTTCAAATCTCACTCAAAAAAATCTGTCTATTTATCTATCTATATCAACCTAAATCTCTTCATATCTATCTATCTATCTATCTATCTATCTATCTATCTATCTATCTCTTCATATCTTCCTAAATCTCTTCATATATATCTATCTATATTTTTATCTATCTCAACCTGTTCATTATCTAGCTAGCTAGCTATCTGTTTTTTCATATCTATCGAAGTCTCTTAGCAATCTATCTTTTCATATCTAAGTTTCTTTGTATCTATCTTTTCATATCTACCTAAGTCTTTTCATATCTATCTATCTATCTATCTATCTATCTATATCAACCTAAATAAATCTCTTCATATATATCTATCTATATATTTATCTATCTCAGCCTGTTCATTATCTAGCTAGCTAGCTATGTCTTTTCAAATCTACCTGTCTCTTTATATCTATCTAGGTTATTTATATAGCTAGCTAGCTATCTTTACATATCTGCCTAAGTCTCTTCATATCTATCTATCTATCTATCTATCTATCTATCTATCTATCTATCTATCTATCTATCTATCCATCCACAAGGGTGCATAAGTAAGTGTGCAGTCTGTCATGCATTTATAGATTGAAATTTGATCTGAAATTTTCATTGTATAATGTTTGATCACTGTTATTAAAATTCACCACTAAATTAAGCGCATGGACAATATGTTGAAAAATAAATATTTGTTATGTAAGTAAGTGCCTTTTTGCATTACTTGGCCACAGACCTCTACAAACACACACACACACACACACATATATATATATATATATATATATATATATATATATATATATATATTAATTTTTATTCAAAGTTCATTTACTTAAAAAATTTTTTACATTCCTATCTAGAATGGAAAAAACTCATATAATTGTATATAAATATGCAATATCACAATTTCAATAAAATAATGTTATTAAGAAAGAACAATTTTAAATAAAGTGGCATAAAAAATTATGTCCTTTTTGATAAATGACATTTCAGAATTGTATTATTTTTGTTAATAAATACAGTTTGATGAGCAGATATAATTTCTACAAAACTCTGAGTTGGGAAGATAAGTTTGGACATTTTTGTTTGTTTGGTATTATATATATATATATTTGTGTTTAGCACTATATATATATATATATATATATATATATATATAAATGAAAAATTAAGAAAACATCATAAAACCAATATCGGTTATAATTTATTTCATGGATATTGTTATATTCATCTCTCCAGAAAAAAAATTTCTCATGAAATAATGTATTTATTTTTAATTCAACATTTTTAATTTTTTCATCACTTCAAACATTATTAGAGGGATCACTTCTTATTTGAAATAGATATCTCATTTTATTTATTTATTAAACAGTGTAATACATCTACCCAAAAATGCACTGCACTCAAGAAATCTAAGTAACAAAAATTTGTCTTTCAGCATATATATATATATATATATATATATATATATATATATTATATATATTTTAAAATAAAGTGATTTTTACTGTTACAGTGCATTTCTTTCCTCAATTGATTGTAATACACAGAAAAATATTCATGAATATGAAAGGATTATACTAAAATCAGCAGACATAATGTTTGTAATTTATTTAATCAGACATATATATATATATATATATATATATATATATATATATATATATATATATATACTGAACTTAATATATATTCATAAATAAATAATATATATATATATATATATATATATATATATATATATATATATATATATATATAATTCTATTAATACAAATATAAAATTCATTTCTAGCTGATTTATGTTATTTGAAGCAACCTGATTCTATGATTTCATAGACAAACCTTTTTGTAATCCTTCACTCCACTCATCAGGAGGTTTCAGCAATATTAAAAAACAAATATATATATATATATATATATATATATATATAAGATAGATAGATATATATATAAATATATATATATATATATATATATAAGCATTACTCCTCAAATAAATTGAATTGAGTTCTCTGAGCTGCTGGCGAATTTTGTATAGAGAAAAAAGTTAAAATTCACTTCCATTCTGCCATGCAACGATGATATCTGACTGATGTCAAATCAGTCGGGTTTCAATCCCGGCTTGAAGCAATTGGATGTCTATCACACTCAGGATCTGTGATACAGCGAAACAGTCTCTCTGTGGGTGACTATATATATATATATATATGTATATATATTTTCAAGAAGAGCTTTATCTTGAGGTAGTAGTTACCAAACTAATCTCTTAGTGAACTTAATTCTCATTGGGTACCCAATATTCTTGGCCTTTCATTATGCAATGGTTACCTCAATATATTAATTCATATGTATGTCTATATATATATATATATATATATGGTAATTTTACTATTGTCATTTTATTCATAAATATTGTCTTCTCTACTGGTTAAATTGGAGAAATTTTCATATATATATATATATATATATATATATATATATATATATATATATATATATATATTCTTGTGTATGTGTGTTTGAGTAGGAGGGAGAGTGAAATATTATAAAATGATAAAAATTTTATATACAAGTATATGCAGGTCAATATTAATTTTTCACTTGTATTCTTTTTATCTCAAATTCTTTTTCTTTTCATCACAAATATGCAAATCATCATTTTATGACAATTAGTACTTTTAGTAAATTGTATGTATCAAAAATAAAAAAAAATAGGCTCTCAGCCAGACTAAAACTCATATCAAATTTGTTTTAAGAAACGTATCTTACCATAATTATGGTTCTTCATGAGTGAATGTTTTACTAAATATCCAATCTAATGATATCATTTGAAAATATTTTTATTAATTATTTAAAGCAATCTTTTGACAATTCCCACAAAATACCAAAATTTAATACTAAATTTACTAAATTTTAAATTGTATAAATGAATAATTAATGTACCATCAAGTATCTGTTAAATAATTTAGTTTAATATTTTATTTAAGATCAAGATTTTTTAATTCAGAGGTCTTTTAGAATTTTATTTCTCTCTTGTAAAAAATATTACCCTTGTTTTTCCTTTACAGATGAACTGAAATTTTCCAAGTTTGAATATACGAAATATTGAAATTGAATATGTAGTTTCCAGTTTTACTTTTAGTTTGGTTTCCAATTGGATGAATTGTAACAACAAAATAAAATATATACATTTTTATTTGTTCAGATTTTTAAAAATTAATTATAAAATTTTAAGAATTTTTTTTTTAAATTAAAAGTCAATTTTTTGTGGGAATAAGATGGATGAACTTTCTGTTAGTCTACAGCAAAAGCTAACATTCATAATTTTAAAGCAATGGAGCCTGAAAAGAAAGATAAAAAAGAAGAAAGGACTAAGTTACATGGTTTGTGTGTGAGGTTAAACCTTAACAGCAATTTGACCTTAGAAAATCAAGGGATTTCAACATTTCTCTGAACGGTCAGTCTAGTATTTTATTGTGTTCCAGATCAATCATGCTGTCAGATTTTTACAGCTTTTCTCCAAGAAGCTAATACTGTCAAAAATTTTAAATAGAAAAAAATTAGCAATATAAGCATAGAATTTTTTGTTATTCTCCACCAGACCAAAATTTTCATTGCCAGTAAGAATTTATGTTAAATTTATTTAATCAATCACAAATCCATACAAAGTTAAGTTTTAGGTTTTTGGATAATTTTAGGCTTTCTTACAGACATTAATTAGCTTTTGGTGGAACAAACTAAAAAAACCTAAAATGAAATTTTAGAAAACTAAATTTAAAACAATAAATAAATTCTAGCCAGATATGAATTCACTTGTGTAAATATATAAAATATATAACTAAATATGTTAATTAGTTTAAATTAAATTTTACAATGATATTGAAGATGGTAATGTTTATAATTTAACTTTAAAAAATAAATAAAATCAATAAACATTTCTTGCTTTAGTATTTATTAAATACTTCAGGAACAATATTTTTTCAAGTTACCAATATATACATTTAGCAATATAATGTGCAACATATTTGTTTGTTTACCCCTAAAAAAGAAATGTATTTTTTTAAAATTTAAACCCACCAACCATCGATTTTAAGAATTTCTTCACAAAGATATGATAGTTGGCAATAAATTTCAATGAAATATCTCCATGACATCCTTCCTTTATTTTTTAAACAAACATTTCTCATGTCTAACCAACAGACAAACATTATACATTATCAGGGTATTAAAGAGATAAGCCATGCTCTCTGACACATGTAAGGGGTCCATGTGACTGTTCTTTCATATTATCATTAACAGACCCACATGTCTTCCATTACACATTGGAATATATGAAAACCCTCATTAAAAAAATTGGAATCACCACAAGATGATTTTCTGAGGTTTTCCTTTTTACTAACAAGGAAATGAATAATGAGCTAAATTTGTGAGAAAATGAGGGAGTTTCAGAAGTAGGACTACTCATACCAGATACTTTTGATCTAATAAATTCATAAAAATGATAAGTTATATTTTTTTCTGGACCCAGATACAGGAATTGGCTCTTTTAGTATTTGCCAAATAACACCTGTTGACACTGGGCTAGTAGTGATACTTATATTGTAGCCTTTTATTCTAATTTAAAAAAAATAATAATTTTTTTTTTAAATGCTGTTATGAAGAAAAAGGAAAAAGCTTCAAGAGCAGAGCAAAAAAAGTTTCTCAAAACCGAAAATCAAAATATAAAGAAAACCCTAAATCAAGAAAGTATACAGATTTAAGCCAATAAAACAGGACATGTGTAAGGGTATTTGGCTGTAATCTTGACCAGCAACTAAAACTTCAAAATATATGAACATAAACTTTTTGTCAATAGTCTTTGTGACATTTTTAAAGCTATGCCATTAAAATTATGTTTGAATTTAGTTATCAAATTTAAATTCAATCAGGAGGATATTTTTTAAATATTAAACAAATTTATTTTATCATAGCTGTCATGACTAACTTTTAAAAGTCCTTAAAACAAAAGCAAAAAAGATAATTATTTTCCATTTCAGTCCATAATGATTCAAAGGAATTATATTAATTTTATTTGGGATTTTTTTCCCAAATAAATGGAATGATTAAAGCCATTTTGTAGCTTCTAAAAGCAGGTGAGGTCATTACTGTTCAGTTTCTGACCCTGGGTTCATAATGTCTCCCCTTCCACAAAAAAAAAGCACAACTAATTACCAAAATATGGAGAGGAGTTTGAAATATCTTTCAGGCCTTGTCCAAGTTTGTATTAGTGAATAGTTTATGAAGCATATGATTTCTTTAGGATGGTTACCTAG